GCCACCATGCCCGGCTAATTTTTTCTACATATATTTTTAGCTGTCCAATTAATTTCTTTCCATTTTTTGGTAGAGACGGGGTCTTGCTCTTGCTCTGGCTGGTCTCGAACTCCTGAGCTCAGAACGATCCACCCGCCTTGGCCTCCCAGAGTGCTAGGATTACAGGTGTGAGCCACGGCGCCCGGCCTCCAGGATATATTTTTAAGTGAATACATCAGAGTTAGAAGCATGCCATCTTTCTTTTAAGCACAACTGGAAAATAAGGAAAAACATATTCTCTCTCTCTATGTGAGAGAGAGACACATATATATATGATTTCACACACATATATATATGATTTCATTTTCTACAAAAAGATAACGATAGGTCAGAAAATAATACAATTGTTTACCTATGGGCATTAGGTGGGAATAGAGTGGGAATAAAGTGGTGGAAGGGAGGAGAGTGAGTGGCACTTATCTGAGTAGAACATTTTTATAGTATTCAATTAGGAATCGTGTTGATAATTTACATAATAATGTTAACTCAAGAATGATGATAAAACATGTAAAATTTGAGAAGAAAGAAATGGGTTATCATCCTCTCAACATATAAACATCCTAAATGTGACTCTCTGTTCTCCCCCAAAACATCTCGTTTATAAGTGATAGTGTATTAAATGTATCCATGTATAAATGTGCACCAGTAGGTACATCCTTACCTATGACTATTTTCAAAGATTCAACCATTGGAAGTTAACTTTCCATTTGAAAAATTCACTTAATTCAGAACTTGGTAATATCCTGACCAAAGTTATCAAAACTTTATGAACATGAGCCATCATAAGAAAAAAATCTTTCATCATAACGAGGACTTTTTTGTGTGTGTGTGTGTGTATAGATATATATGGGTGGTTTTGGTGGGTATTTCATGTAATGACACCTTTCCGCTTGTTTTGATGCTGTGATAGTTTCTTTTCTAGTTCTTTTTTCTAAATGTTATTATGTTTTAGAATTATTTCATAGCTCACTAATGGTCTGTAGTCTTCAATTTGAAAACTTCGAAAGGCCTATTAGTCTACATCCACAGTTTTTCTACTCTTATTTTCAAAGAGACAGTCCAATAGCCTCAGGTGGAATCAACCAGGGCATAACCCCTTTCGCTTTGCTTTAATCCTAAGTGACTCTTGCTATTTTGATTTTATTATCAGGGCTATCACATTTAGTGTACTCCTGTACACTAAATGGCACAGTCTTTCAGATTCTCATCAAACTTGCGTTTTTTTCCCCTTTCTTTTTTCGGTTACCCAGTTTTTTTTCCTTTTCACCCCGGAAAAGGATTTTATATATATATATTGTACAAAATTTTTGTGCAGAAGTACTTTGAATGTATAGAAATAAACACTCCTAGGTGTTTGATATTTAGGAATGCAAAGAGTTTAGCACACTACACAGCTGAGGGGGACAGTTTACACAAGACCACCCTCACATGACGCCAACTGCAAATTTGGGGCTTTCCCAAAACTACCTTCACATTCAGTAATTTACTAAAAAGACTCTCAGAGCTCACTGAATGATTTTATGCTCATGGATACAGATTGTTTGTAGGGAAAGATACACATTATAGTTAGCTAAGAGAAAAATTACGTAAGTCAGTCTAGGGAAGTACCAAATGGGGACTTCCCATTGTACTCTCCTTGTAGAGTCATGTTGATACCAATGTCAAGCTCTTCCGCAATTACGTTTGCTTTGAGATATTGGGCAATTTCTTTACTTCTCTGAAATTTGATATTTTCACCTCCAACTCACGAATAATAATGCCGTTTAAACGTAAAGTTTAAATGAGGAAAGACAGCTTTTCCATGAGAACAGAGCTTTCCTTTTGGCCTTCTCAAATGATGGTTTTTCCTGATAAACCACTGGTAACACAGGGTCTGGAGTTGGTGCTGGTACCTTTCTCGTTCCTCATTGTCCTTCCCAAACCATTCCTTCTCACCCATTCTTTAAAATCTACCTGTTTTAGCCTCATACCATCAGATTATACCTATCCTCCTTTCAGTCATCTACTGACTCCTAAACAGTTATTCCCTGTTAATTTCTTGAAGATGATATTTCCCAGCTCGTTCTCCTTGTAATAATACTCCTGTAATAACTGGAGGCATTAGGAAGTCGCGTTTATAGAATATTTTGGTTCAGGGAACCTTACGGCAACTTTTAGTTTTGGGATTCCTTTTTCTTGCCCGGGGGTTCGGGCTTGGGGGTTTGTTTCCTTTGGGCATTGCGGTAAGTGTAGTCAGAGATCTCCGAGTAGCCGCAACACTTTGCCCTGGAAGGTGAGACAAGAAAGTGTAGCCCACACGGTCTTGGGATAGCGGACACTTCTATTCACTTAGACAGGCGCATCCGGGGAATTCTGGGAAGTGTAGTCCAGCAGTCCCGCAGAGTCGCTTCGCGGCCCAGGCCGGAGGCCCAACGAATTCTGGGAAATGTAGTCCGGACGCTCTGTGGCAACGCTGGCACTTCCGTTCCCAGTGTGGGAGGTTGCTACCTTACTTTCCTTGGTAGTCTGAGCCAGTTCCACGTCTCGCGGGCTCTTCCGAACTTCATGGATTTACGCTTCGGGCCTGCAACGACCTGGTAGTCGATTTAGGGGAAAGAAGTCTGGGCGGAGAACGGAGGGAGGGGCAGAGGCGGCGGTTTTTGTTCGCGGCGGTTTTCGTTCCTGTCGGCGGAGCCTTGTCGCCTTTGGGGTTGTCCTCGCGTCCCTGAGCGGGGTTTGGTAGTTAGTCGTGTCGCGTCTCGCCTGGTTTGAGGGTTTCTGGGTCTCTCAGCTCGCTCAGTCCTTCTCCCTCCACCTCACGCGCGAGGCCACTTGCTCTCGTGTGTAACGTTGGGAAGTTACTTAATCTCCCTGGGCCTCTCCCTGCTGTTCTTTAAAATGGGGAGTTTAGGATCAACTATCCTAGTAGGATTGTTTGGGGAACTGAAAGAGGGAATGCAGATGAAAGCCCGAAAACAGTTCCTGTCCCGTGGTGAATGGTGGTCTCTTCTTGTTACTATTAATTTCCCGTAAAGCCGTCAGGTCCCCCGGCGGGGGTCGGAGCTCCAGCTGCAGTGGCTCCGGCCCTTCTCTCTGACCTCTGCAGGACGCTGGATAATCCTGGACGTCTTCTGATCTCTTTTTTAGGAAGGAGAGGGTTGGTTCCATCTTGCAGGAAGGGAGGGGAGCATGTAACTCTTATCGAGGACAGCGACAGGATCTTTCCCTAGCTTGACTTCTCAAAAATGACCGCACAGAGGTAGAGGGAGCGAGTGACTCCTTGGCCACTGACAGCAAAGCTCCGCGTGAGTATGACTTGTCGTTTTTGTTTTACGGAGACCGCGTCTGTTGTGGGATATGTTATCGGGCATGAGTGTTGCTAATAATTAAATCTTAATTACTAACTTCAGTTCTAAGGGCTTTGTACAAATGAATACATTTATGCCACGCCGTGGCTCTGCGGAAAGGGACTGCTTTTTTCTTATTTTAAAGACGAGTGAGACGCAAGGAGCATGAGTTATTTGCCCGTTGTCACCCACGAATGGCAGCCTGGGTCCCGAGCTAGCTGAACTGGGTGGGGAAAGTTAGGACTTGATGATTAACGGGACCCTGAGAGCAAGGCTCATGGGCTTGGACTTTTCTGAGTTTTTAAAACCATTGTCAACTATTTTGTTTCACTTTTTTGCAAATATTTCATATTCTTACAAAACCATAACACTGTGCAGCATTCAGAAATTACAGAAATACGAGGAGAAAAATTTTTTTAATTACTCGTGACTCCAAGGTGTAAAGATAGTAACACTTAAGCTTCTAATGCATTTCTATTTAGTGGTTCTTTATTTATTGACTCACAAATGTTTCAAAATTTTTATTATGCTTTTTTCAATATTTTTCCCCTTATCTGTTTAACTGTGAAAATTTCCAGACCCTGCCAAGAGAGAATAATAACCCAGTGAACTGCCACATTCTATCATGTTCATTCTTATTTTTCACATTATTACTATTTCTATGACTATTTCCTGATTTTCAAAAATTTTAGCATAGTATTTACATAATTTTATTTCTTTAGGAAAGTTGCAAAAATAGTATAAGAAATTCTCATATACTCTTTACCCAAATTTACTAATGGTTTACATTTTGCCTATTTACTATGTTGGTATCCATCAGCCAGGTGTCACTAGGAACACACCTGTATCCAGAGACAGCTTTCTGCAGCAAGGAAGCCCACATACCAGGGTAATCATGGGGTATCTTGGTAAGAGGCATTTAGGAAGAGCTGGTTAGAGAGTTTCACATAACATGCCAGATAATATTATATATTGCAGTACATAATGTATATTAAATATGTATCTATTAAATGACTACTAATAGGAGTTTGTGTTAACTGTTAGATAATGCTAGGTAACATATTAGATAACATCATGGTAACTAATATGAAGTCCCATCTTTAAATTTGTTGTTTTTCATTTTAAGTCCTTTTAACTGACTCTCCCCCCTTCCTCACTTCAAAGTCCAATTTTATGCATTGCCTTTAGTTATCACATTTCTGTCATCTTTAATCTGGAATGACTCCGCAGCCCTTGTCTTTTTTGTTCCTGATATTTTTGAAGAGTATAGACAAGTTATTTTGGACAAAGGTGTTTTATTTGGGGTGTGTCTGATATATTTCATGTTTAGGTACAGATTATGCATTGTTGGCAGGGATACCACAGAAGTGGTAAGATGTCCTTTTCATTGTAACATAACAGGCCACATGATGTCAGTTTGTCCTTTAGTTGGTGATCTTGGTTTTCTTCACTTTGCTAAAGTGATGTTTGCCAGATTTTTTTATTGTAAAGTTATTATTTTTTTTAATTAATGAAGTTTTCTATGGGTAGATACATTTATTAGTGGTTATTCTACTGTAAAGACAGGCTTCCCTTTCTCCCCTATTGGCTTATTCATTCATTCAAATATAAATATTCTATCCATGTGGACTCCGAATCCATTTTATTAAGTTAAATGACATGTAGATTAACCATTATTTTTTCCAGCTTTTTTTTTTTTTTTTTTTTTTTGAGACAGAGTCTCACTCTTTTGCCCGGGCTAGAGTGAGTGCCGTGGCGTCAGCCTAGCTCACAGCAACCTCAAACTCCTGGACTCAAGCGATCCTTCTGCCTCAGCCTCCTGAGTAGCTGGGACTACAGGCATGCACCACCATGCCCGGCTCATTTTTTCTGTATATTTTTAGTTGTCCAATTAATTTCTTTCTATTTTTAGTAGAGACGGGGTCTTGCTCTTGCTCAGGCTGGTCTTGAACTCCTGAGCTCAAACAATCCACCCGCCTCGGCCTCCCAGAGTGCTAGGATTACAGGCGTGAGCCACCGCGCCCGGCCTTTCCAGCTTTATTGAGGTAAATATCATAGCATTTACTCATTTCAGGTGTATAATTTAGTGATCTTTAGAAACTTTGCTGAGTGGGGGAACCATCACCATAATTCAGTTTAGATCATTTTCATCCCCCATTTAGACTCCTCCCACCCGTTTACAGTTAATCCTCATTCTCACCCCAAATCCCCATCAACAAATCTTTCTCCTTATATACATTTGTCTGTTCTGGACATTTCATGTAAATGAAATCATACAATCTGTGGCTTTTTGTGAGTGGCTTCTTTCACTCAGCATAATGTTTCCAAGGTTCTTGCATGTGGTAGCATGAGTCAGAACATCATTCCTATTAATTTCCAAGTGAGATTCCATTGCATGGATATGCCACAACTTGTCTATCCATTTACCCATAGGACATTTAGGTTGATTGCAGTTTGGGGTTATTATGAATAATGCTGCTGTGAACATTTATGTGCTAATTCACAATATACATCTGTGTTGGTGGGCGGTATCCCTGGCCACCCTTTCATGTCTCTTTCTGCCTTCCACAGCATTCCAGTCACAATTCTGCCTTCACAGGAACTGCAGAAACCGGACTCTGCAAACTTCTAGAAGTAGGAGGAAAAATGACCACGTTAAAGGTAATACACTTTTGTTCTGTTTTTTTGACCACAATGTCTCACTCTGTTTTCTGAACTAGAGTATAGTGGCATCATCATAGCTCACTGCAACCTCAAACATCTGGGCTTAAGAGATCCTCCTGCCTCAGCCTCTCTAGTAGTTGGGACTACAGGCATGTGTTACCATGCTCAGCTAATTCTTCAATTTTTTTGTAGAGACAAGGTCTCGCTATGTTGCTCAGGCTGGTCTTGAACTCCTGGCCTCAAGCAATCCTCCTGCCTTGGCTTCCCAAAGTGCTGGGGATATAGGCATGAGCCACCATGCCTGGCTGGTAATATAACGTTAACAGCCTTTATCTTGCTGTTAAAATTTTACCTCATTACTCAGATTGTCACATATTTTTCTCTGTCTTGGGAAGACTTGTAAAGAGCAACAGGCATTTGAGGACCTGTTTTATGCCAGAGTCTGTCTTTGTCCCTTTTGAGTTGACTTTGTTTTTAGGTTTTGTTTATTTTATTATTACAGTTGGCACTCAGTACTTCTTCAGTGAAATAGCACACTTTCTCCCTGGCCCCCTCCTCGGGGGACCTCTTCTTGTCCTTATGTGGCACTTCCTCAGGTGCACCAAGATGCTCGGCACTCCAGGTGCACAGGGAACAGGGACAGCAGTTAGCATGGTCTTTATATCCCTCTATGACAAAAGATACCTTACAGCGAATTACCAGAAAATATAACAAGTTGGGGCAAAAATATTTAGTGCACAGATGCCCAAAAAAAGACAAAAGTCCATAATAGGAATCTTATGCACAGCATAAAGAAAAAATCCCAAGCAACGTGAATAAAGAATGTGAAGCAGCAAGTGAACAAAGGAAAAATAGAGGTGGCCAATAAACGTTGGTATTCATTTGTAATCCTGTGAGAATAATAAAAGGAATCGTTCTTCCTAATCAGATTGCCAAATTGGAAAATTTATAACCTGCTTTTGGCCATCATGTAGAGAAACACGGTGCTTATATTCTCTTGAAAGATTGGAGAGGTAGGAAGAAAGTCGGGAAGGAAATCTGCCATTATAGGATCATAATTTTAAATGTGCTTGTTTTTTGATTTTTAAATTTTCATTTGCAATTATTTTAAATGGACATTAAAGTAAGATCTACATAAAATGTTCTGTGTAGGGTTCGTTGTAATGAGAAAAAGATGTAAAATTAAATATGCATTATTTAAAACAGGTAAATACAGATCATCAGTTCCCTTGAATAATGTGCAGTCATGAAATGAGATGAAATAGGTAATGAGGATGATAATAATAATAATAATAAATGACAGCTAATGTTTGTCACATATTTAGTCTGAGCCACACACTGTTCCAAATGCTATACAAGGTATATAGTCCCTTGTTCAATCTTTGAAAGAGATCTGTCATTTAAGAACTATTGTACCGGGATCAAAGTAGGTGAACTTGTCCAAGGTCACACAGCTTTCAAGGGACAGACCCTTGAGGTGGCTCTGAGGCATGATGGCTGCAGATTGTGACACTGAATGCTGCAGTTAATGGTGCTGGTGTGTGCCTTGAGCCTACAGAAGACAAACTAGCACGGCTGTTCCAGACGTGTTACCAAAAGCTTGGTAGTTTGGCAGACTTTAATGAAAAGTGCTCATATCCAGGGTTCCTGTGTGAGAGAGGAGGGAGGTGGTGTTACCAAGTATGTTGGTACTAAATTGCTAAATGTTTCTGGGACAATTGGTACTATTTACCAAAAAGTAAACGTGTAGCCCCAGATGCATCATCTAGAGTTCTAGATGGTTACTTATAAATAGACCCAGTGATGGCACAAAGTAAAAGAACAAGGACTGTCGTCATGGCTGTACTTTTCGTAAGGCTGAGGAAAATCAGTGTGTGCCATTGGCAAGACAGGAGGAGAAGGAATGGGAAATCCACAAATTAAGTCCCTTAACATCTGGACCGCCCATTCTGTCCACCTTCTCAGTACTGTTTCTTTTCAAGTGGCCGTTGATAATAAGATTGAAGTTAGGTGTGCTTGATGTTATAGGAGGAACTAAGCTTCAAGGACGTAGCTGTGGTCTTCACCGAGGAGGAGCTGGGGCTGCTGGACCCTGTCCAGAGGAGGCTGTACCGAGATGTGATGCTGGAGAACTTCAGGAACCTGCTCTCAGTAGGTGAGGACACGAGCCTTCTGACACTAAATGTCAGCCTCCTGGAGTTACTCTGTGGTCTCTGGAGGTCTAGAATTAGTTGCCCACATTTGTGGACCTGATTTTCCTATTAACAATTTTTCATGAAATAAAATAAGGTAGAAAATACCAGAGTTTGTTAGGAGGACTGGAAAACGTAGCAAAAGCTCTGGCCAATTGCGTGAGTGGTATGACAACCAGTGGGAGGAGATGTAATGAAAATCAGCGTTGGTTAGAAATAGGTTTTTGCCATATATATTTATGCATTTGTGTCCGAGTCTCGAAATACTGATATGTCTTTTTTTTTTATTTCAGCATATTATGGGGGTACAGATGTTTAGGTTATGTATGTTGCCCTTGCCTCCCCACTCCCCCCCAAGTCCGAGTTTCAAGTGTGCCCATCCCTTGGATGGTATGCATTGCACTCTTTGTGTATGCAAATACCCGTCCCCTCCTCCCCCCTGTGATATTCTCTTTAATAGATCATTCTAAAGATGTTTGAAAAACACTGCTTTAGATTAATTGGTCAGTGTGCAATAGGAATTCAAATTTCCAGTAAGTTGTATTAATACCTTTAGTGTGTTTTAAATGTGTGACTTTGCATGTTCATAGGGCATCACCCCTTCAAGCATGATGTATTCTACTTAGAAAAGGAAAAAAGGCTTGATACGGTGGAGGCAGCAACCCAAAGAAAAGAGAAATCAGGTAAGAACCAAGTGACTGGGAGTCCTTGTCTACGTTTCTTTATCTTTTGCACTGCTGTTGCTGTCATCTCATCCAAACTGCCACCTCTTTCCTGATTATTGCAACAGCATTTGTACTGGGTGGCCTGCTTCCACCCCTAATAGTATAAAGTCTGTTCTCCTATAGGCTATTTCCATTTGTGCCCAAAGTGATCCTTTGGAAATGTAAGTCAAATTGCCATTCCTCTGCTCAAAACCCTTTATGGTTTTTTATTTTTCTCGAAGAATCTTAAAAGTAGCTTATAGAGTCCTACATGGTCTGCTCCTCATCCCCCACTGCCTGTCTGACCACAGCTCCTATCTTCTCCCTCTCGCTCAGTCTTTTCCAGCCATATTGTCCCCCCTACTGTTTTTCAGACCTGCCAAGGACACTGTATTTCCTACCACACACTTAAGCAGATTAAACAACAAAAATGTATTATCTTTTGGTTATTTACATTTGAAGTTCAATGTGAGTCTCACTGAGCTGAAATTAAGCTGTCAGCAGGTCTCTATTCCTTTCTGGAGGCTCTAGGGAAGGAGAATCTATGTCTTTACCTCTTCAGCTTCTAGGGGCTGCCAGTTTTCTTAGCTTGTGGCCCCCTTCCTCTATCTTCACAGCTGACTCCATTGCTTCTCTGATCATCTTCTATAGTCACATTTCCCTCTTGCTCTCTCTTTTGTGTCCCTTTTCTACTTATAAGGACCCTTTAGATTACATTGGGCCCACCTGGATAATATAGGATAGTCTTCTATTTTTAGGTCAGCTGATTTGCAACTTCACTTCCCTCTGAAGCTTTACCCTTTGTCATGTAACCTGACATATTCTTAGGCTCCAAGAATTAGAATGCAGATTGTTTGGGGGACAGTTATTCTGCCTATTAAAGACATTTCTGCCTCAAAGCCCTTATTTGCTCTTCTCTCTGCCTGGAAAACTCAACTAAAATCCTCTTGGTCCCTCCCTTACTTCATTGTGGTCTCTCTGCCTTGTCTTATATTGTGTCCCATAGGCTTTTGTTTACTTCATTGTCACCTCCTTCTCCTCACTGTAAGGTAATCTCCAAGATTGGAGGAATTTTGTGTGTTTTGTTTATTGCTCTAACTTCAGTGCCTAGAATAGTCCAGGTATCTAAATATTTGTTGGCATAATGAATGTGTTAGTGGATGGGCAGGACCTCACTGTCTCTAGGAGTCTTGAGATAGGATAGGTTTTGCACAAACCAGAGTAAATGAAGTATGTTGCAGAACATTATTTGTTTTCTGACAGCTGTA